AGAAAGCAACTGTCACTCAAGCAAAACCTCCAAAGGGCAAACCTGGCAGCTGCTCCAGTCGAGGACCTGGAGTAAATCGGGGACACGCCACCCCCACATAGCAAGCAGTACGTTTCCCAGCATCCGTTCTGGTTCCCTTAGCTGATGAATATGATCCTATGTTTCCGGCTTGGTATGAGAAACAGAGAAGCACCAAAGAGAGAAGCAACAGAGGCAAAGAGCTGGAGACACAGGGGAAAGAGACGGATGGGAGAGAAGCAGGAAAGGTCGGCGTGAAGACTCTCTCCAAGGGACCAAACTCAGACTGCAAGGAAAATGGAGAAGGCCAGCAAGACGGGGAGGGGGAAGGGGAAGGACGGGGCTGCCATGGCCCCATCTGCTCCTGCAGAGGAAGACGGGGACATTAAACCAGGACGGTCCTCACAAAGAGACTCGAGATCTTCACCACAACCCTGCAAGGCGCCTGTCCCTCCCCGGCTTGTGGGGAACAAGGCAGACTGAGATCTCCAACTGCCCGTTGTATTCGCCTTGGTACCGTGGGATGCATCCAAGCAATCTGATCTCAAATCCATTCACTGAGGACACTCAGGTGTCCTACAGCCACTCTCCCATGGAACCCGGTTGGGGCCACGGAGATGAGAAGAGGGAGGGGCTGTGGCAAACAGAAATGTGTGAGGTGCTGGGGCTCCGCCCGCGCCCCTGATGACGAAGCGGTACAAAAATGTTTGCAATCTGAAAGAGTCCAACCAGCTGTTGACAACCTAGCTGAAAGCTACTTCCTGAATAGGTCGTAAAAGCCTATTTCTACAGTTTGAGCAAATTCAGGGTCCTGGATTGGATGAAGCAAGTTCTATTTTAAGAACTACAGACACCTGCAACGATGCCTGCACGGACTACCAACCGATCAAAGATGAGAGAAGCATCTACCTCGCGGTTATTAGGGACAGGAATTCTCGAGAGCGCGTCTAAGGTATGTGTTGACTCATCTCTTAGTCTGTGGTGTTTCGGCTTAGTAGTAGCCGTCGTTTGAAGCGTACTTATAAATCGGCTAAGCAGCATCCCTAAAGGGAGACAGTGAAAGGAAAGAGTCAGGCTATTAGGCCAAAAATGAACCCACACGTGCCTGACACGGGTGACAGACTGAGTAAGAGTCCCTATTCTTGTCCGCCCGCCGCAGTGGGGGTTTGAACAGGATGGAGTCACCCAGCCCACTGCTGACTAGCGACATTCCAGGGAAACTTCTCTACCCCGTCCTCAGGATGACTCTGACTTTGATAAAATAGCAGCTAGCACAAAAAGCAGCATCCTCAAACCTGACACGCCCTCAGAAGTGTCCAGCCGCTGACTGACATCCGGGGAGGGGCTAGCCTGTTCCAGCAATGAAAACACTGCGTCTTCTCAGAGCGCTCCACTAAGGACAGCCCGAGGCTACACCTCAGCATGTCCACATTCCCAGCGGTCTTCCTGGTGGTTCCTGAAGGAGGCCCACTGTTGCCAGCGCCAGCTCCCAAGACCCTCCACTCTGACAGCTCCCACTTGAAGGAGCACGCGATGACCCTCACCAGCTGAGGTCCAAATATCCAAAAGACACTTCAGAATCTAAGCGGTTACCTTCTATACTTCCCCAAAGCTTTGCTTTCATAAATGCTTGCATTCTTGAGTTCACTTATACCGTGATGGTGCCTAAAGCTTCATCAAGGAGCCGGGCGTTGGCAGCATTGGGGAGGCAGAGGCAGGCGGATCTCTGTGAGTTCAGGGCCAGCCTGGCCTACAGAGCGAGTGCCGGGATAGGCTCCAAAGCTACACAGAGAAACCCTGTCTGGGAAAAAAATGAAACAAAGCAAGCAAACAAACAAAAAACTTCATCACGGGGTTTATCCTTCCGGCCAAGTTAGGTAACTGCCTTAGCCGGCATAGGCTGGTCTAATCTACCAGCTAGTCTCTTCATCATGCCTAAGGTACAGTAACTCACATCACAGTGAGATTTCACCAAGGTTATCAAAAAGAGAGCAACAGGTTAGAAGCCGTCAAGTGAAGCCCACAGCCATTGTTTGGCCTTCCTGATGTTTCCAAGGCCTGCTGAGACAAGTTAGCATCTACAAAGCGTGATAGTTCAGTAAAGTTTCCAGAAAGTTTGAAAAGTAATACAAGCTTCCTTGGAGGTTAAAGACAGGGCTGAGTCTTGCTGGTTGCAAGCCCATCATATTCAGGCAGCCACAACGGCCCTGGACACGTCATTTATTACTAACAACATGACGGCCCTCCTTTGGCCACCAAAACTCTTTCACTGAAGGTGTATGTCAGCAGAATCAGCGCCATGGCCATTGGGAAAGAATGTGATGGCATCCCCGTGCCAACCAAAGAGTAAGTAAGAGCATGGGAACAGCAAAGACGACAAACGAGCCCATTTTGGTGAAGGGTGCTGTTAACACTGGAACTGCTGAAGTACTGCTGCCCAGTAAGCAGCCTCTTTTCTTGATTTTATGCTTTTTTACAAAAGCATATGTACAAAATATACAAGGCCGTCAGCTAAGTTTACGCTACCTTGAACATTTTTGTAAGGCAACATGATAATGAATGCTTCGTAAGATATTAATGGAACATCGGTTTTAAAAATAGTATCTTGTCTTTGAACACTGAAACACACTTGAGTAGACAACAAAATTTGCATAAAGGGCCCCTTCTGGGTTTTTGCAATGAACAGGCACGCGCAGGAGCTTGAGGCGGCTTGTCCCCGCCCATCCACAGCCAAGAACAGAGGAAGAACAAAGCATGTGTGCCGGTCGGCCCGCTCGCTCGCCTATCGTGCTCAGCTTGACTTTGTCACTCCTACCCTTGAGAACCCCCTGCCTAGGGTCTGGCTCTGCCCACACTGGGCCAAATCCATCCATCGATTAATTAAGACGATCCCCTACGGGCCAACGCAATGCAGACCGTCCCTCACTGAGACCCTCTTCCTGGATGAGTCTAAGTTGTGTCTACTTGACGATGAGAGCTAAGCATCACGCCTGGGTTTTTCTCTTGAGGGCCTTCCCAGGATAACACCTTACCCCATATACCACCCCTTCCATCTTATCCGCGCCACCCACACTACTGACAGGCCCAGCTTGCCCTCTGGCAGCATTCAGCAGCCATGAGCCAAACCCTGCCTCCTGTTGGTCTCTGGAACGTCTGAAGTACAGTTAGAATAGCGCCTAGCAGAGAGAGGAAAAAACCAGCTAGGAGTGGTGAGTGAGTGAGTGAGTGAGTGAGTGAGTGAGTGAGTGAGTGAGTGAGTGAGTAAACAGGGGCCGTCTTTTCTACCCTCCTGAGATACTTGGGTAAGATGTTTGTCTATTTTATTTCTCTCACTCGCTCGCTCGCTCACTCTAGTCTATGAGGTGCCTGGTGTGGGGCTGCAGGCCTTGTGAGTCCTCCCTATTACTCTGGTTTTTAGCTTGGCCGTGCTTCTAATCAAGTTTCTAAACTAATAGAAGCTGGAAATCAGGAGCAGAGGAAGGGAAGAAACCAACATCTAAAAGGAACTCGGGGATTTCAGTTTCAATTCAGATTCAAGTGGAATTCGCTGACTAGAAAAGAGTTAAGATTCCAAGTCAACAGAGCGCCACTGACGACCTGAGTTAAAGACTTCCTTCTTTACTTTTTTTTTTGTGTTTGTTTCTTTGTTTGTTTTGTTTTTCCAGACAGGGTTTCTCTGCGTAGCTTTGGAGCCTATCCTGGCACTCGCTCTACAGACCAGGCTGGCCTCTAACTCACAGAGATCTCGGCCTGCCTCTGCCTCCTGAGTGCTGGGATTAAAGGCATGCACCACCAACGACCCGCCCACCCGGCTCCTTTACTTCCTCATAAGCACCAGGTGAGGTGCACTTAAAGACACGGTACAAATAAGCGCATTAGTACCACTACAATGCAGGGCCCTCTTAACTTGCTTTCACATACGTGATACCTCTCCCAGTATTTACACACCAGTGAAGGAAGAGCGTTTTCCCTGCCCCCCCCAAAAGAGAGAACCGCAAAAACTGTAGCTATACGCATATTCGCTATCTAATATTATGTGACAAATTAACGCGAAATTCAGTGGCTTAAGGCAGTAGCAAGCATCTGTCATCTATCACCATTCCTACGATTGACCCAGTGGTCCCAAGTCAAGGTTAGTCATGAAATTCCGTCAGATGTTAGTGGGGGCTCAAGACATTAGGAGATGATGGAGACAGAGAACCCCTTTCCATAGCATGCCACGCCCCTGGTGACAGGCATGCTGGTGCCGGCTCGTTGTGGAGGCCGTGGTTCCTTCCCATGACGGCCTCCACAGGGGACACCCATGATTTCACAATACAGAAGCTTTCTCCCCCAGAACACACCATGTGTGAGTGTGTGTGTGTGTGAGTGTGTGAGTGTGTATGAGAGTGTGTGTGTGTGAGAGTGTGTGTGTGTGAGAGTGTGTGTGTGTGAGAGTGTGAGTGTGTGTGAGTGTGTGTGTGTGTGAGTGTGTGTGTGCGTGTGTGTGCGTGTGTGTGTAAGGCACAGCCGAAGAGTGGTGTGTGCGACTCTGCCTTGGTCTGTATCCTCACTTAGTCCGGATCCCATCAGGAAGGGGAGAACACCGGGCACATTCACCGCCGGTAAGCTTTGGGCACTGAGGCGGTCGGTGACCTGGCTCCCCCAACCCCCATGCTTAAGTGACTTGAAAATGAAGACCAAAAGGTAGAAAACAGAATAAATACCAAATAATACCAAACAGCACATTAAACTCTTGAGGGCGGGTTCAGGTACCAGTGTATGGATGAATACAAGCATGGTGAAGTGTGGCTATACCTTTAATACACGTGTGTATGCAGGGCCCGTATACACACATGCGTGCACGCCTGTCTTCCCGTATACACACATGCGTGCACGCCTGTCTTCCCTGATCTCTATGAAACCGTACACTTTCAAAGGGTGAACTTGGGCAAACCCCTTCCAGACAGGGGCTGCGTCACCCTTACGGCCATCTGACTCACCTCCCGCTGTGCCGTTCCTCGAGAGGTCAACCGTGAACCTGTGCACGCTGTGACTCTGACCCACCTGAAAATAAAGTGATGTCACAAACGCATTGCCTTACAGCGTCACTAAGGGCCAGTCTTGGTGACACGGTGCTTGAGATTCTGCCAGCCTCCAGAGAGCCGCTCTGAGGTCAGAAAACGTGGAGAGGAGATGGAGATGTGTATCTCCTTGGTGTTAGCCTCCCTCCGGAACTCCAAACTTCCTTTATTTCTCTTTAATAACGACAGGTTGAGAGTGGGAGTAGATGCAAGGGTTTTTTTTTTTTTAGATAATCATTATTTTTATATCTCCCCTAAACATCAGCCATGGCGAAATTTCTGAGGCTCGAGGGCCAAATTCCCCCCACTAACGCGTCAACAGCCCCTCCCCCGCGGTAATGGCTGTTAGTCATGCTCCATGCTGTTTACATGTGTGAGGCCTGTGATCTACAGGAGCAACCCAGTCGCAAGGCCCTTGTCGCTCTTTTGAAAGCCTGTGTGCCTCTGCAAGACAGCGCTGCGTAAGGGACAGATCAGCCCAAAGCACGGCTACCCCGACTTCCCCACCCTCCGCAGCTGGGTGACAGGATTTCTTCTGCAGTGTGCCCACACCAGGCTCCGGGGGCCCTTGGCAAAAAAAAGTCATGAATTGCCTGTCTGGCGTCTGAGCGGTTTTCCGTGGCCCCCTCTCCTTCCTTGGGCTTCTTCTGTTGCCTAGGAGACATAAGCTGCCTTCCATATTCCGCTAGTGAGCAGTCGGTCATATTCCAGACCCCTCCCTGAGAACCCTTTTTCTCATGGTAGTTTTCTCCCACGAACTTAGTTGGAGAGCATCCTCCCTCGGTAGGCAAGGCATCATCTGGAGTGGGTCTTCGCTCTGCCCGTGACCTTGGGCTATCTGGCCCGGTAGAGGGGGTGCTTCTTGTCTGCCAATGAGGCCTCTTGAAAGGACAGGGTAGGGCGGTCACTCCCTGTCTTGTGTGGTGGTCACCTCAGAATGACTAATGCCTGGCTGTGTGAGAGAAACCCATCCAGACAAGGCAGAAAAACTCCCAGCTGCAGTCATCTCCACTCACTTGTTAACCGCCAGATGACTCTGCTAGTTAAAGGCCTTGGAGCCCAAGTCTGTGCTGCTAAGTCAGACGCCTGAGACCCACGCGGGGGGAGGAAAAGCCAACTACCGTAAACGGTTTCCGACCTCCACATGTGCCACAGCATGTGTCCACACACACGGTGGGAAAAGTTAGAGGTAGTAAACTGTTGAACTAGCCCTTGTTCCCTGCAGAATAAGAAACCTTATTTTCAACCACAAATACTGTAGTTATTTTTGGTTCATTCTAACAGGGGAATAAGTAGGTACAACTACACCCTTAGAAAATCCACTTCTGTTAAATGCCCTGCCCTGATAATGTGTCTGACAACTACCTTGTATGCCATCCTAGAGCCTTCATCCAGTGGCTGATGGAAGCAGAAGCAGACACCCACAGCTAAACACTGACCTGAACTCCTGGAATCCAGTTGCAGAGAGGGAGGAGTGATGAGCAAAGGGGTCAAGACCAGGCTGGTGAAACCCACAGAGGCAGCTGACCTGAACAAGGGGGAGTTCATGGACCCCAGACTGATGGCTGAGAGGCCAGCATGGGACTGACCCAGACCCCCTGAATGTGGGTGTCAGTGAGGAGACCTCGGCAATGTACGGGGCTTTGGGTAGTAGATCAGTTTTTATCCTTGGCACACAAATGTACTTTGGGTGCCCATCCAACAATGAGGGATGCTGTCTCAGCCTGGACACATGTGGGAGGGCCTAGGCCCTGGCCGGGATGATATGACAGACTCCAGAGATCCCCCATGGAAGGCCTCACCTTCCCTGGGGAGGGGAAGGGGGAAGGGTGGGGGATTGGAGGCTGGTGAGGGGCAGAGGAGGAGGGGAGGGAGAGGGAGCTGGGACTGTGAAGCAAGCTTGTTTTTTATTTAAATTTAAAAAAGAAAAGAAAATCCAGGTCTGAGCCAGGTGTGGTGGAGCATGAGCCTTTAATCCCAACCCTTGGAAGGCAGAAGCAGGTGACCGATAAACAAAAAAGAAACAACAAGGAAAACCTGAACCCTGCTTGGTTTGGGCAGCTGTCAGCCCAGAACCCCTACTGTGCGCATACACACATCCCTCTCCAAGCAATGTGCCTATCGACCTGTTATGACCTAGCACCCACTCACCGAGCTACAAGACACCCCCCCCTCCAAACAGCAGGCTGCCCCGCCTTCGGTCACCATCAGCTGTGGGGACTCAGCCACACTCCAGTTATGATGGGGGGTGGGGCTCACAGGCCCGGGTCAGTTTTGAGGGCACGTACTAATAAGGGCCGATCGCGAACCCGCTATGTGAACGTCTACGGGAATCCCATTTACCATCTTACGCCTCTGTATAACCAGGGGCATGCGTGCGATTAAAACCAGAGGCTCTAGGGGAGGGGACATGTGCAGTATAGAAAGGGTTGTGTACGTCGAATCTGTTGATCAGAATAAAGGACTGTGCACGGTCTGTTTCTTAGCAACAACACCTCCTTCCTCCTAAGGCCTGGAGTCCTTGAGTACTGTCACTCACGTGGCCCGCTGTCACGCTTGACAACGCACTTCCTTCGGCAACCACCAGGCTTTTGAATTATGTTTCCTTGCTTCTGTGTATGCCTTTATTTTTCTCCCTTGAATTCGGGCTAAGGACCTGGAGTCACGGGGCGTACCCCTGACACTACAGCATCCCTCCTCAGCCTCCCAATACTAGAATCACGGGTCTGCAGCCCCACGCTTGGCTCCCTGGATCTTTAGGACTGTAGTGTAGACAGAAACATCGGGTGAGTGTCCGACGGCTTCTCACTCCGGTTAAAATCCTGTTCTCCTTCAAGATAAAAAAGGATATGGCTCTAGACTCTAGACATCCCCTATGTGGAAGGAATTGGCAATAGGGTGGAAGGCTGGGGGGGTGCGGGAGGAGGGGAGGGAGAGGGAACTGGGATTGGCATGTAAAAAGAAAGAAAGAAGGAAAGAAAGGAAGGATATGGCTCTCTGCACCTGTTTCTACCTCATACACTTCCCTCCAGGCATCCTGGCCTCCCTTCTGTCCCTGAACCTGCTCAGCTACTGTTAATCCCTTCCTGGGAGTCTGCTGGGCTGTGTTTCAGTCCTTGGCATACAAACCACTCTCCATCACTCCCTTCCCAATGTAAAAATCATCTCCCAACAGCCAAAAAGTGACCTCACAGTCGATCTAAAGTACACTGGCTTGCTTAATTTCATCGTGGTATCAATCACTATGTGAAGTTTCCTTATTCGCACATTACCTGCCCCTTCCAGGCCTCCTCTTAGACTCTTATGGCTTACCGTGGTCATGCCAATATCCCCCAGTGCTTTTCACACACCGTGGCACATAGTACTCAGGCCATACGGGTTGGACAAACAGATAATTCCGAGCTTAGCGCTGAGCTTTGAACTCTTTGACTTAGAAGTTGTATTAACCTCCTCTCGCTGCTGTGATATAATACCTACGCAAAGGCAATGTAAGGACGAGTTTGTTTGGGCTTAGGGGAAGGCACACCAGCAGGCAGACAGCATGGGAAGCTAGGATGTCATGCCTGTAGCAGCAAGCAAGAAGCATAGAGAGCCAACTAGCAGTGGGGGGGAGGCTGTGACCCCTCAAAGTCCCGGATTCCTTGAAAATTCCATTTGCCTTTTTGAAAGGCTGTCTTGGATGGCAGATTAAAAATGAGCACCAGGGCTCCCCCGGGAGAGCCCGCTGATGGCCTGACTCTTCTGTCCGTGTGAATTTCCCTCTGGCCTGTTTCGAAGTCATGAAGACGGGGTATCTATTGCCGGGACTCTCCCAGCTGCTCCAGCAAGACTTCTCCCCACAGGCAGAGCAGCTGAGCAGAGGACGAGCTCGTGCAAAGGGCATCAGTGCGGCAATGGGAGAGTTATTGCTAACGTTTAGTTACTATCCAGAAAAGTGCACCCCAGTGGCCTGCACCCCACACACACAGAGCCTAGAATTTTCCATGTCTACCCAGTGGGTAATGTGGTTGGTCTAACATCAGCTCAGCAAGTCCGCAGCCTTGGTCAAGTCTTCCTTTGAAAGGCAAAACTGAAGCCTAGCATAGCTCGTGCCTGTGCTGAGACAGGAGGATGGCCATGAGTTCAAGACCAGACTGGCTACATAGTGAGTTCAGAGCCAGCCTAAACTACAATAAGACTTTGTCTCATAAAGAAAAAGATGGATGGATGGATGGATGGATGGATGGATGGATGGATGGATGGACAGATATAGCTTTAACAACAGCATGTAGATGACAACTTTCTCCGTTTGAGTTCATCAGTGCATAGCATGCCAAACTAAGTCTGCTGACACAATGATACAAAGCATTTTTAATGCATCTTTTGTTCTGAGAGCTAACAAATGTTCTGCATTTTAAAATGAAAAGAAGTTCAGCATTTGCGGGGAGAAACAGGAGTCAAGAGAGCTTGAGCCAGCCTTTCCCTTTAGAAAAGCTCTGTGAGGAAACCTTGTCTTTAAAAAAAAACTCGTGAAAAAAACTTGGGTCTACGTGTTCTGGGAAGTTTGTTGTTTGTGTTTCGGGATCAGCTGTTAACACGTAAATGACAAAATTCCATTAACCCTGTTCTTGGGTCCTTTCATTGCCAAACTGGGTTTACTCAGAAAGGGTTATTGCTTCTCGACACACAAAAACCAAAGCATCTTGGTATCCAATGGGAAGGGGAGGAAAGGGGAAGGGGAGGCAGAGGGGAGAAAGGAGGAGGAGGAGGGGAGGGGGAGGGAAGGAGAGGGGAGGAGAGACTAGGAGGAAAGGGGAAGGAGGAGGAGTAGAGAGGAGGGAAGAAGAGAGGGGAGGGGGGAGGAGAGGGGGAGGCAGTGGAGAGGGGAGGGAGGAGGAGAGGGGGAGAGAGTGGAGAGGGGAGGGAGGAGGAGAGGGGGAGGGAGTGGAGAGGGGAGGGAGGAGGAGAGGGGGAGGGAGCAGTAAGGAGGCCTGTATCTTTCCACACATCTCTG